ACCCTAACCCTAACCCTATCCCTAACCCTAACCCTAACCCTATCCCTATCCCTCACCCTAACCCTAACCCTATCCCTTACCCTAACCCTTACCCTAACCCGACCGGCATCGCGACGGGCGCTCGTCGTCAAATCCGAACATCACAACTACCTAACTACCTTCACCGCCGCCACCATGCAAAACGGCCTATCATACCCACGGTTCCCTTGGCCTGCTGCCACACAAAAGGCAAGAGCGACACCCGACTACGCAGACCATTTCTGCAAGCGCTTGCCGAGATCGTACAATAGAGCCAAGATGGGGGCAAAACAAAAACACTACTACAACGAAAAAAAAAAAAAACACCACCGATATGTCACACCACTGCAGTGCGACACCGACGACGACAAAGCGCCCATCGGCAAAAGGAACAACAATCTTAACCCACGACCGATATGTCACACTACTGCTGTGCGACACTGACAACGGCAAAGCGCCCATCGGCAAAAAGAACAACAACCTTAACCCTTAACCTTAACCTTATCACCTGAGGGGGGGACGACCGTCGGGCCAGGGGTAACAGCGGGAGGAGTCGGAGGCAGAGTGTCAGCCGCAGCGGCAGCAGCAGGAGCCGCGGTGGCTGGAGCGGGGGGCAGCGTGGGGGCAGCGGCGGCTACGGGAGCCTGGGACGACGCGGAAGGAGCATCGACTGCCGCCGACGAAGGCGAGGGAGTTTCTAATCCGCGAGAGGCGGGCGTGGGTGCCGGGGTGTCGACCCCGACCGGGGCGGCGGTGGTGCTCGAAGAGGTGGCGCCCTGGCCGGCCGTGCTGGAGTCGGGCTGTCGCAAGCAGCAGCAGCAGCATCGGGCACGGGCAAGGGAGGGGTGAGGTCAACCGACAAACGGCAGCAGCAGCAGATACAGCAGCAGATACAGCAGCAGCAGCAGCAGTGCCAGCAGTGGCAGTGGGAATAGCAAGTGTGTAGCCCCTCTCCCAGGTTTCTACGTCGGTCGGGTTGGCATGCTTACGGTTGGAGAGTCGTCGGTTTCATCGATGACAACATAAACAGCAGCAGAAAGGCTCTCCCTTGCTCTGTCTGTCTGCTGCTTCGGAGGAAGCGCTGAAAGGGCGGACAGCGACGCCGGCGGACGTCCGGGAGGGGCCACACATAGTTGGGGGGGGGGGGGGGGGGGGGGGGGGGGGGGGG